TGTGTGACTCTACAAATTTAAATTTTGCGGCCCCGTACTCGAGCCTAACATGTACGGTTCCGCAAAGGCTTTGGCTGGTAAAATTATTTTCGTGGGAACCACGAAATCTGGGATACTGAAATTTTTGGACAATAACCCCCTGCCCATGTACGACCTTACAGACTCAAATTCAGCGTTCCTGCGCTCTCGGGTATCACCTACGGCTCTACCAAATTGTTGGCGGGAAAATTATAATCGGGAACTACGAACGTTGGGGATTTGAAGTTTTAGGGCGATGTCTCCTGTCAACATACAACCGCCGCAAATTTGGATTCAATCTTCACGCACCCGTAGGCCACTTATGACCCCGTGAAAATTTTGGTAGGGGAATTATCTCGTGAACAGCAAAAGCTAGAGACCTGCAATTTTAGCGTGGCACTCCCCGCCCATGCACAACTGCGTAAATTTCCAACGTCTCTGTGGAAGTTTTGGCGAAAAAAAAATCATTATCTCGGAAGCCAGAAGAGTTAGGAGGAAGAAGATTTCAGGAAAGCGTTTCCTACATGAACAGAGGCATTCAGCTCCTAGATATGTCGAGGTCTCACGTGTGACCAGTGAAAGTTTTATCTCAAAGAAAATTAGGACATTGAAATTTTGAAAGGATATTCACCCTCTGAGGTTTCAAATCCAACTTTCACATAGCGATGCGCGAAATTTTTAACTATTTTTCAACACTGCATCTATTTTTGCACCGATGAAAGTGCGAAGCAGCGAAGATCACTGACAGGCAATCGTTCGGTGGACGGAATTGCACAAAACGCATGATGGCACCGTCTATTCTCGTTCGTGCTGCTATTCATTTTTTTGATTAAAGATGAAAAAAGGAGGAAGGAACACTCTTAAATTAAGGGCACAATATCCGATATTCTACAACTCATAGTTACACTAAGTTACTTCAAAGAAAAATTCCGGGTGCACCGTATCGCCGTGTAATGCGCAGATGGTACTAGAATGTATATGTGCAACTGTATTAAAGTAATGGTTAAGGCGAATTTGCGAATAGAATCATGCAAATCTATGTAAATGCTCTACTGCCTTGGAGGAAGATATAAGATGGTCGCATTCTCCAGCACCATCATTGTTGCTATTTGTCAAAAGCAGACCTTGCTGTAGCTGATAAATATGGGGTAAATAAATTCATTGCTTAACAGTTGATCCCGGCTGTATCGAGGCGTACAGTAGATAAAAATGAACTGAGCGAATTGTTTTGAGGAGAAAGCCGAGAGAGGGTAAGAAGAGAGGTACGGACACGGACACAAGATCGAACTTGCAGGCCAACGTTGCAAAATGCCGTGCGAACGCCCGCGCAGAGGTAGGCGCGCTTATTTAGCGCACTCTTCGACGCTCTGCTGGACTCGTTGCTTGATTGAACATTTTCTTGTCTATTTAATTGTTGATTTTCATGTCATATTTTCTTTTTTGCACCAATTTAAGTAGATGGGACTACATGTGGGACTATTATTTCTTGGTATTATCCATATAACTCTGAAGTTGTTAAATACTTCTTGAGAGGAAAGATCAGGACTGCTAGCAAGCTGACCACTGGTCAGAGCACCTGGAAAAAATACGTTGTGATAAAAGCAACAAAACAGATATGTTTATTGTCTTATTGATAATGACGTTGCTAAATGGCATTCCTTCATACTTTCTTTACTTCTTATGTCATCGCTAGATGTTCTGTTCCGCTTCTGCAGTTCATCTCTTTTGCTATTATGTACTGCTTCAGGGCATCCATTCATACTTTAATCCAGTAAGGCATTTGAGGCTGAATTCCACCGATGACCGCATCTGTCCCTCCATCGCCTTCATGTATTCAGCAAGCAGAACCGACTACTCTCATTAAGCCTGAATTCAAATGAGCAACCGCACTATATTGCAGGTCGAGAAATGGGTTAGAAGAGCCCTGGACAAGGGAGTCACCGGCCTTCGGGAGGAATTCCTAAGCCTCAAACGATACGTCCCCGAAGGGATGACAACGAATGCATTCCAAGGTACCTTCGAAGCCGGGAAATCACGATATAAGGACGTCCCATGCCAAGACAAATACCGCGTGGTTCTGAAATGGCCTGGCGTAGCTGAGGATTACATCCATGCCAATTATGTCGCCACACCGATTAACGAGAAACGATTTATTTGTACTCAGGTAGCCGCTTTCATTCATCAGCAGACCTCTACATCATGGAAACATATAAAAAGTTGTTTGTAAAAGGAAGGTGCAACTGGCTCGTACTAACAACAGTAACTCATTGGCAAGATTGTCGATGACTTTCTCTTTCAAGGGTTGCTTAGAAGTAAGCTGGTGACTGCTTTGTTACTTCGGC